AACGTGTCAAGACAGTGTGTCTCAGTCACAATGACGAGAGTGGCTGTTGTACAGGGTGGTAAGGAGGTCATCAATATGTTTACGTACTCAAATTGACGAGCTCTATAGTACGTGGCTGCTCGTGCCTTTCCGGGACACTGCAGCAGGGGACCACATCTATTGTAGCCGGGGGGGGGGGGGGGTATTTATTGAGTATTCTGAGTCATCCGAAGTAACACATTTCTGGCTACCAGGGCTCATTCGGATCGACTTGACTTAACCTGCGTTAATTTAAGAATAACTGAAGACGGTACCCGATATAGAGCCTCAAATGCGACCTTAGATATAATACACAATGGCTGCCAGTAGAAGCACTAGGCTACAATGCATAACTACTAGAGGTTAAAATGTGCCCCATTGCTTGACAAAGCTGCAATTTATTTATTTACTGTATGTAAAACGACAAGAAAGCCAACATCAAACAGAGGTACAGACTCATCATTAAAGGTACATAGGATACCGTACCCATTAACTGGAACTGAAGTAAAACGACGGCTTGGGGCGAAGTGACCTGACGTAAAATGACGTCACAGTGGGGCGAACGTGGCGGAGGATGTTTTTTGGTTTAGTTTGGTTTGTTGTTTAACGCCGCACTCAGCAATATTCAGGTATATGACGGCGGTTTGTAAATAATCGAGTCGGGGCCAGACAATCCAGTTATTGACATCATGAGCATCGATCCACGCAATTGGGATACGATGACATGTGTTAACCAAGTCAGCGAGCCTGACCACCCAATCCCGTTAGTCAACTATCGGGTGCTCAGGATCGCTGACTTGGTTGACACATATCACCGTATCCCAATTGCGTGCACAGACTGTTGTTTGACTGCAGTAAGTTGCTAAATGTCCCATGCTGAGCAACAGAAGGTGTGGCTATGCAACAGTTCAAGGATTTCTCATTCCTGTGACCTGTGACAGACGTAATTTCTTTGGCACCAACGCTTCCCTTGGAGACTGTGACCTTGGTTGATGTGGCTTGCTTTCTGTATGTTTGGGTACTGGGAGCACGGGGGGGCCCAGTCGTCTAAGGCGCCGCGATTCGCTGTGCAGAGAAGCGTCCCTTGGCCACGCCAGAAACCTATGAGTGTGGGTTCGAATCCCGGTTCGACCTGATTATGTTTCTAGGTTCATCAGCACCATATCCGTTCTCGTGGGTTTCACCGAAGTGGTAAACGTATGAGACTTGCATCACTTCGGGCTTTCCTCCCACATTAAACTGACACGCCGCGATATAACTGGAATACTGTTAAAAGCGGCGTTAAACCCAACTCACTCACTAACAGATGCTTGGATATGGTATTACGGCAGAAAATATCAGTCACGTCATACATTTTCTCCTCATATAACAGTCGGTGCGACTTAAAATTTGGAGATACACATACTGTTTCAATGTAGAGCTAGATAAGTTACTGCAGACGTATACAATAACACAATCCATTCGTGTAATGCTGAACACACGAAAACAACATTTCCATCGATTGTAAGGTTATGGACCGGGAACGCCAAGTAAGAATATTCAGATAGTCCGGGAAAGCAGAACACCGATTCTGCTGCTGGTACCGAGTGCCCCAAATCGATTGATTTGAGGTAAATGAGGTGTTTCGTGAATACGTACCGTTTCATGATATAAATGAGCCATACCGAAATTTATTAGTAGAAATACTCTTTATGATATAAACGAGTTAACTTATTCAGAAAAAATACAAATACATAAAGCAAAAATCCAATTAAATCGATTTGTCGTCCAAAGCGTGGTTCCAAAGCGTGTCTTCCATTAAACACAATGTATCTGGAGCCGTGTACAGAAAGAAGGGCTGGTGCCCTACTACAAGGAAGACCCCGACGTGAAGAAGGTAGTCAGGCCCGCCGCTGTCCGGCCCCTTGTGCCACTCGACAAGGTACAAGATGTGTGGTTGGAGACGACTGCCAATAGCCCTGCAGGACGAATGATCACCGCCTTCGTGGACTACGTCACAACATCTTGGGTTGAAGGGAGGCAGTTCAGTCCTGACAACTGGAACCACTTTGGCAACTCTGGTCATCAAACAAACATTAATCTTGAAGGGTGGCACCATAAGATAAAACAGCTAGCCAGGTAGCGCAACCCTCACATCTACGAGGTGGTGCAGCTGATGTTCCAGAGAAAGCAACTCAACGCGGAAGTCCACATCCTGGAGGTTGAACGTCAATCCCTCTGCACCTCCCCGTGAACGACGTTACCGCCAGATCGACGCCCGCCTCAGATCATTGAAGGACGACCTCGTCAGCCACCATCTGTCTGACATACAAACCATGGTTCGGAGCTTCTTCACCTGGACTTGACATTGATATGAATATGTACATTTTAATATTTTAAACATTTTAACTTAACATGCATAAATACGGTAATGAAATTGATGAGCGGTACTTCTCATTTTGTTCTTGTTTTATTTGCCAGGTAGTGGGAGTGCCAAATTCCGTGTCAATAAAACGAGTCTGAGCCCTTACTGGTCCCGGGGAACGCCACGAGGAGTTTTCCAACCTATCATATTTGATGCTTCATGGCCGACACCGACTGTAAATTTCGCGTTACCGTTGTATCAGTACGCCTATAGTCACACCACAAGACAGATCGCTCCACACACGAGTGAAGTCGGTTATAATTTATTACATGTACCTGAAGGACGCCAGCATACGTACCTTGCCCTTGACCAACTTCATGGCTCCAGTCGAGGATTTCTTTTGCTCAAAGGGTCCGGGCTTTTGAAAAGCTACACACATCACCTTAAGATCTTTAGTATTTGAAAATTCTTAGTTCACCTTCTAAAGAGTAAACTGCAAGTTCGTATGAATGTTTCTTGCCATAGTTGCAATGAACGCCAACCCACGCATGCTTCTGGTCACGGCAACTAATGAGTGAGTGAGGTGTGTTTGACGCCGCTTTGAACAGTAAGGTGTGTTACCTTGATGTGGGAGAAAAACCCGCAGTGATGCAGAACGTAGACGTTCGTCACTTGGGTACAATCCGCTGACTCGGGTATGGTGCTGAAAACTTCATAATCAAGGGCATCTGGGATTCTAACCCACGATCATAGGGACAGCTTAGCATACCGAAAGACAAGGGATGGGTTACTCACAGATCACTTTCTTGAAACCCACGAACACTAATACGGACATTATTACTGCGTCTGTTAAAATAATAATCAGGCCAACACACTTCACTAGGTTTGTTTGTTTAACGCCGCACTCCCAGCAATGTTCCAGCTATATGGCGGCGTTCTTAAAGGCGAACCATTAACCGTCACACAGATAGCTCTGACCACCACCAATGACCATCCCTTAACCAGACGTGACACCCATAGAACATTTTGGGATCTTGACCAGAACATCCGATGCCGACCCAATCTTTAAGGAAACAGAGATCAGATGGTAAAGGCAACGAGAGAAGAATGGCGGGCATTAGACGCCCAACTGTGTCCGACGTCGTGTACACACGCCTGCATGTTTGCACGCGAATGCCATACACATTATTAACACATTGACGTTCATGTCGTGACGGTTAGGATCATGTTAGTCACATGTCGTCGTGAGTGTAATCTGTGAAATCATAAGTGTCAACCCTCAGTTGGTGCCACCAGTACCACCACTTCTAAAAATCCGTATTATCCATTATTTACCCATAGTAACTTAATCATGCATGAATTAAGAATGCCTTACCACAAGATTGTCATGATGACAGTTTTGTTGCCTCAGGTGCCAGACTTTTCTTTGATAATTTGAGTGGCTTTGGTCCTCCAACACCCGAATTTCTTGGCGATATCGATATCGCCACGGGAAATAAGACCGTCGCTATCTTCGTGAGTGAGTTTGGTTTTTACACCGCTTTTAGCAATATTCTAGCAATATCACGGCGGGGGACACCAGAAATGGACTTCATACATTGTACCCATGTCGGGATTCGTTCGAACCAGATCTTCGGTGTGACGAGCTAACGCTTTAACCACTAGGCTACCCGACCGCCCCGCTATCTTCGTGAAAAGGTGAGCGACCTAGTAGGGGTAATGTGGGTGATAATCACATTACATGAAAAACTCAAATGTATAAAAACAGCAGCGTAAATACCCAATGAAGCTTTTTCAGCATGTATGAAGCTTTTTCAGCATGCCTACAAAGGAGATAATGTCCGAAACACAATTGCGAGATAATTTTCTTTCCGAGTCAAGCCTATATATTTCGAACAGTTATATACATCTAAAACATTATTTCATTTTTTTTAAATCTTAAAATGTTCACTGAGTCTCTTTTTGGAAAATAACCCAATAGAGTGATGAATAGCTGAGTGAAAAAGATTTGGTTACCCAATAAAAAATGTAACAACCCAATTAAAATAGAAACCCTAGTGTAAAAACTCAGTTGCTCAAAAAGTCATCTGGAGCTCTGCATTAGTCCCCTCTCACGACAAGCATAGTCATCTTTTACGGCAAGCATGGGATGCTGAAGACCTATTCTACCCCAGATCTTCACGGGTCTCATAGATACTGTCTGGCGTTGGCAGTTTTGAGTCCCGAAAGTCGCTAATAACGTCAAGCATTGACAACACTCCAAAAGTACCGTATTCGACATAATAAGCGCCCAGGGCGCTCTCAAAGTTAGAAAAAGGGGGCTCTTATTAGAATATTATTTTGGTGAAAAACAACAGAGTTGAAAGATCGTAAATTTCGTGGTTTATGCTGACAGCCTGAAATGTTTATATACGACAGATATATTTTTTCCAGAATTTAATTTCCCATAATTAAGAATGCATATAACATACGTATTATACACGAATAAATAAGTCATGTGTAGATTGATCAATCGGAAGGGGTGCTAATTGGGATTTTCACTAGCCAATATATTAGAAAATATCGCCATGGGCGCTTATTAGAGCGGGGCGCTTATTACGTCGAATACGGTAACTGTAAAATCAACCAAAACACTCCATCATATTCTTGGTCATTTTATTTCTGTTTTGTCACAGAACACAACAGTTTACAATAATCTCCAACAATAACTAACAATATAGACTCTAATAAATAACAAGTATTCTATAGTATGTTGTGTAACATATGGCTACAATGTGTTGCCGGCAGTGGTCAGTGAACAAGATTGGTCACAGCTCTAGGCATAAGGCACCTGATGTTTGAGAACATGAATAGGGACATGCTTAAGTAGACTCTGTCATTAAAGGAGGCATTGCACAAATCATATCAGATCATCCTATGTTGGTTGTTGTATCACAAATATGTTTTAAACAAAATAACACTTTATCTATTGCATTAAGTCAGTTTTCAATGTTTGTTCCAACTTCAAACTCCAACAAAATCATGTTTAATACCAGCACTTAGAATATTGCACTGTTTTGATCTTCGTAGTTGTTTCAAGACATTATTTTACACTTTTAATAAATCAATAAATGAAAGCTAATATTGAATCAATTTCTCCATCAACAGGTTGTGTCAATCCCAACAACACGTTGTGTCAATCCCATCAACACGTTGTGTCAATTCCACCGATCGCCACGTTGCATCAATTCCATCAACACTTTGTGTCAATCACATCAATACATTGTGTCAATCCCAACATCATTGAATGGGAACCATCAAATCTTCAGTTAGTTTTTGAGATGGATTGTTGCTATGGCAACCTATCCATATGAACTTAAAGATTCATTTAAAAATGTTTCAATAACAAAAATAAGTTCCCCCTTTAAAGTTACATGACATTATATCTAAATCACCTCGTCATGTGTGTCTAAAGCTAGCACTTAAAATCACCAACAAAGATAGAGATATAAAGAAAATATATTTTCAGCTCAACAGCAAACAATAGCCCTCTTGTCGACTGTTGACAGACAAGACTACATTATACAGGTAAAACACCCAGGAACAACACAGTGACTAAACAAGATAACAAAATATACTTGTTCGGAAAATAGCACAATTCTAAACAATCTTTTTGAAATGACATTCCATGAATAATGGATAAAGATTGTTTGTTCCCTGACGACATGAATAACCGGTATAACTCAAAACAAAGATATATCTATATGACGATGATGCTCTTACATAAATATTGCACCACAGCGTTTGCAGCATTTGTAAATTCACATGATAGTTTCCCTCCAGGCGTGCTTTATTCCTGAAACTCTGGTGATCACTGACTGGACTCACAAAATGTTGCATTCAGTTTTCATCACAATATTAGAGCAGACGTCGGACAAAATGGCAGAAACCCAAATCAAACTGTTCCAACTTTTCTAAAACTGTTCATTCTTGAAAAGGTTAGGGAAGTCTCACAAATACATTTTCTTTTTATTCTTAGTATGACCTAAACTGTGCATGACTGTTTGGTTGTTTATTTTGTATGAACCATTAGGTGTGATTTTTTTTTTATTTCTTGGTTTATGGATGATGGGTCACTCTTTCAAAGTCCAAACGTTGAAAAAATATACAAATACAAATTACTCCTTTTTTCACTGCTGATCTTTACTTAAAAAAATGCATAAAATGTTCACACAAAGGTGACAAAGGGAAGTCACTCTGATATTTCTTGCTGGGATTCTTCTCTAATACCAGGTGTCAATGCAAAGCACAATCATGACCAGTTTAATGGTCACCCATGCTGCCAAATAGGATTGTATGCATTTCACCATGACATGAATATTGTTATATTGCCATTTCTGCACAAGCTGTGTGCCAGGGAACTAATAAAATGTTCTTGAAAAATTAAGTTGTTTTACATTTGGTGATCCAAAATATATTTTTTTTATATGTACCTAACTTTTTAGGACAAAAATCAAGTAAAAACAATTCTTTTCTTTTTTTGCATTTAATTTGCCTACTTCACGTTTGAAATGAGTTTGAAATCCATAAACCAAGAAATAAAAAAAATTGAATCATTGAGTCATTTAATCAATAGTTACCCGGGTATACCTGCAGAAATGGTAAACATTAACTGCCTTGTCAGAGCTACAGTGTTTATCAATAAGTTTTGTCTAGGGGCTAATCATTTCATATCATGGGGGGAGGGAGGGGGAGAACAGTTAAGCTGTTTCCGAAAAAAATCCTTGATAAAAATAATTTATTCTCAAATTTTATACACCAAAAGTATTGCTGTCTGGAGACCTCTTTAGCTCCTCCTTAAGAGAAAATAGTCGTGTCTTGAAGTTCTGATTGAAAACATCTTCTGTCTCCAACAATTATCCCAGTCCCCCTAAGTCAGTCCTTTATCAGGAACAACTTAATCACATAATCTAAAATCATTAAAAGCTGTTTTTCAATCCCTAAGCTAACATTTAGACACGAACACAGTCGATAGATTGACAATATATTTACTTTAACCCAACCTTTAACTTCATTCCCATTAGAAATATTGATTTCCACATTCGACCCATTTTCTAATTTCCAATGTCTCATATCTGTTCCTTATTGACAAATGAGAAATAAAACAACCAAGAGTATGTGTACCGACGCCAGGTCAAGTTACTACTCTCAGAAATCAGCTTCAGTCTAAACAGGCAGTTCTAGGCAGAAGGAAATACCAAGCATAGCATACATTGAATGTGGCCGAGAAGCATGTAGTGATTACCTAGTTAAATAGCCGCTACAGATACATACCCTACATAGTAGACCCTATAACTACAATATCATCAAACAATATTATTACCATAAAAATACACCTACCCAAACGTATACATGTATAGCCCATTACACAATGTAAATAATATTTAGTTATATTAATTCGCCAGACCAAATCAATTTCCTGTATGTTAGGTCTTCCACATGCAGGAAGATATACTTTTTGAAATATAAACAATGACACAAACTTTACTTTTATGAAAATTTTAATTTTAGGTCAATACCCCAGCATTTTTGTACCATTTTCTACCTAAAAAAGCTTTCCATGAAACAACTTGCCTGATATTTCTCAAAATGATTCATAAAATGAGTTATAAGGTAAGTATGGGATTGAGATAAACATATATTTATCAACAGTAGTAACTTTATCAAAACGTTTTCAAACTTGTCCTAAATTAATAGGTCATGGCTAATTACCAATATGAGCCCCAATAATAATGTTGTCTACATCTGATAAAATAAATACCAAATACCAAATAATACATTAAGATGAAGAAAGGGTGGTATAGCCTTGGAGATGTGATGGTATTAGAGCATAGGTTTATAGAACTGTAAGAAATATATTTGATGGAATTGAACCCTTTCTGAAAGTGGTAATAAATTCAAACTAAACTAAAAAAGCAGCTAAAAATGAAGAACGCCTAATGACAACAGATACCATTTATATGCATCCCAAGATGAAATCAGGCTGAAAACACCGATAGTGTTGGTTCCCTAGTATGCCTGTTTCATGCCAAACATTCCGACACACAGCAATTTATTTTTTACCAAAGAAAGCCGAAATTTCCGATACCTAAAAAACAAACAATTTCTTTTAGCAAGGTGGCACACTTTCCCACACCTACAAAAGCTAACCATCAGAGCAATTATTCTCAAAAGTCTTCACGGGAGAAGCAGTTGCATAATTTTTTTGTTTCCTTTTTGTGTGTACATAACATTATCCTATTTGAAGTTTCCTGTTTGCTAGTAAACTGTCACCTTACATCAGCACAGCTAAACAAAACCCTTCAGCCAAACCAAAATTCAGACACAAGTTTCTATATGAGGATTTTGAGGTTAGTCTGCTGTTTGACAATAAACACTAGCTTCTTAGCTGAAATAATAGTTCCCCAAATGGCAAATTAAGTATTATAGCATTATGTTTTCAATTTCTTCAAACACATTTTATCTCTCCATTGACAACCAAATGTCATGTTTATCAAATTTTATATAGTTTAACAAGTATAAATTTTAAACAGATTGAATAATGTTTTGAATAGTTTGCTTGTTTCTGATTGGCTGCAATTACGCTAGCGCCGCCTGGAGGGATGAGTAGGTACAGTTGGAACGGGAACAAACTGGTTCTCGTTTATAGAATTCCTGTATGTCCAAATCCTTGCGACAACTCTCACAAGTCTTTGGACACATAGGTTTGTAAAGGTCAAGGCCATTTGACTTCCAGATATCAACAACGTTTTTGACAAAGACGTCCATCATCTCACGAGTGTGATGGGGAGTCGGGGCAACGCGGAGCCTCTCACTGCCGCGAGCAACAGTAGGGTAGTTGATGGCTTGGACATAGACGCCGTGTTTGTTGATCAGCTCATTGGACACCTTGGTACATGTGAGAGCATCGCCAACCTGCAGGAGACAATAACCATATAGACATTCTCAGAATATTTGCACAGTTTGCCAGAAGCCCTCCTGACAATGTGTTCAAACACAGAGATTACTGGTGGCTTCATTGGGCAAAAGATCAGTTCATGCATCGTGTAAGTGTTGGACTGATATTACGGATTGAGTGTCAGAATGTTTGTAATTCTCAAAGGAGACACAAGTTTTGTCAAATCTGAAAGACACATACACAAATGTATGAATTAATTATTACGAACATGAGCAGTGATAGAATGATAGACTGAAAGTCAAATCATCAAAGACACTGTTATATATCATCGCAAAGTGAATAATTTTCATTGTACGACAGTTTGCGTATTGCTTCAGTATAACTTGAGAAGAGTAGCACCACAATCCTCTTTAAACATGAGATATTCGCAAGTACTTGCAAAAACAGAAGCAGCCCCTTCACGACCTTAGTCCCCAAACTCACAAAGTCTTCATATACATGTGTTTCCCAATCTCATTAAAAATCTGATCTTAGTTCTCGCTACTGCTAAACAAAGATCATTACAGGGCAAGTCAGAACAACCTTTCGCAAACTTTGACTGACTAATGAAATGACTGACAAGAAGTCGACATTAGCCAATCAGAAAGCTGCTTTCTCGAGTCATACGGCACTAGCTTCAAACTGGCATCCTCCATTCCACACTGCACTTTGCAAAATATTTTCACAAAGTTCTCGATTCAAATTTTGAAAACTGAATAAACAACATACTTCTATGTCCAAGATTGTACGGCAGTATTTCCCAAGGGCTACGCAAAGTCTCTTTGGTTCAAATGTTTATCTCATTGAAGCAAGAATAGACGATGGTTTTGACGGATTCAGTCGTAAAGCCTGTAACTGTCGTTCGGAATACCCTGTGTTAACCTTTTCGAGGTTGCATGATCAGAAAACACCTTCCGGCCGTCACTTTCCTGATCTGTTAAGCAATACTCTGGCAAGACTCATAATGGTATACCGTCAGATCTTTGTTTAGCGGTAGCAAGAACTATGATCTGATTTGAATGAGATTAATGTACTCCCAGACCTTGACCTTAATAAAAACAACTTAAAATTTAACAATTACCCAACTCCTATATGATTGTACAAGTAAAGGTAATCATGCTTAAGAAACTGACAATGACAAAACTGTTGCTGAATGTCAGAACCTGATTGCTGACCTTGACCTTTGACATATTTTGGCCAAACCTTTTCAGATCAGGGCTCCAACCTTAAGAAGGTATATACCTAGTTTAATGATAAATGCATTAATAATTTTTCAGAATGTGTAACAAGAAACATTTTGTGCGATTTCTCTCTCTCGTGACCTTGATCTTTGACATTCTCATAAATATTCCCAAAAGGTCCATATGCAATAATTCCACAGTAGGATGTCCAATAATGTAACACATTTTTGCATCAGTCATGAGACAGAATGATACAAACATTTTTCAAAATAACCTGAAAGATGACCTTGACCTTTGACATAAATGCAAGGAACAATTGATGAAGTAAGATCTGTTAAGAAACATGTAGGTATATAGTTCCTTGCCTGTACTGGTAGACCATTCCTCAGAATTTGACATTGACATAACCAATGTTTTACGAAAACCTTAACACTCACCTTGACATTTGACTAAACTTGCCCAAAAATACTTCAAAGCAAGGTCCCACCAAAGAGAAGGTATATACTGGGATATCAAGTTTAATACTAAAAATACGAATATTTTTTTAGAAAGCATAACCACAAACTGTTTTGTGAGATCTCACGACTCTGACCTTTGACCTTTGACCTTTGATGACATGTCAAACTAATTCCCCAGGACCACTCACATGTATAGGTATGATGTGACTGGGGCTGTGCATGGCTGGGATTCCTTCATGAGTTAGCTTCTCCCGCAGATACAAGACGTTGCTTTGATGACGTGCTCGAAGCTCTCGACCCTCATCACTCGCCAACACCTGTTGATTATGAAAATACCATATTCATATTTGTTACACATTGTCATACAAGGTTGTATCTGGGACGAAGTTGAGTCCACATGCTTCAAGTACCTGCCATCTGTCATAGCAAGAGCTCCACACAGTGTGGCAAGAGATTGACTTACATCAATTGAAGCAAGAGCTCCACACAGTGTGGCAAGAGATTGACTTACATCAATTGAAGCAACAGCTCCACACAGTGTGGCAAGAGATTGACTTACATCAATAAAAGCAAGAGCTCCACACAGTGTGGCAAGAGATTGACTTACATCGATTGAAACAGGAGCTCCGGACAGTGTGGCAAGAGATTGACTTACATCAATTGAAGTAAGAGCTCCACTTAGTGTGGCAAGAGATTGACTTACATCAATTGAAGCAAGAGCTCCACACAGTGTGGCAAGAGATTGACTTACATCGATTGAAGCAAGAGCTCCGGACAGTGTGGCAAGAGATTGACTTACATCGATTGAAGCAAGAGCTCCACACAGTGTGGCAAGAGATTGACTTACATCGATTGAAGCAAGAGCTCCGGACAGTGTGGCAAGAGATTGACTTACATCGATTGAAGCAAGAGCTCCAGACAGTGTTGTAGGAGGCAGGGCAGTGGTGAATATGAACCCTGCGGCGTAGCTCCGAACCATGTCGATGGTGTTGGCAGTACCGACGATGTAACCACCCATATTGCCAAATGCCTTGCCTGGAAACAGATCACACTCCATGATGTGATGTCAAGTTATCAACAGATGTATTTGTGACTGAACAACATGTGAGTGATCGAAAGTATAAAGACAGAAATATTTTGACAAGCACTTCATGCATTCTTTCACTGAACAAAGTTACTGCTTTGGCACTAACTGTTGTTATGAAGCATGTTAAATGAAAGACAAATAATTGCTAAGAGACTGTATGAACACTGTTGTACCATTTTTTGCAGACACAGCCACAATAACCTCAGAATCATATTTTCAGCTTAATAATATTGAAACAGTGTGAGACAGTTTACTCAATATTTTTTGTAATCTGACTGGCATCCTGCCGAAAGACAACATCTTGCCTTTGATAAAAACAAAACAGCAAACAAATAATAATTTGTTGCGGCCTTAACCTAAACATGTCGAAACATGTTTCCTATCTAAAAATGAAGGTCATACCAAGAGTTCCTGAGATGATGTCAAGGTCATCAAGACACTCGTCTCTCTCAGCAACGCCCGCACCATGGTCACCATAGAGACCCACTGCATGCACCTCATCGACGAAGGTCAAGGCCCCATACTTGTGCGCTACATCACACAGTTCTTTCAGAGGGCTAATGGATCCTGTGGAAATAAGACAAGTTTGTCACATATTAAGAAACTATTTGTCATGTGCTTCATGACAATATTCATAAAGTCATTTATTGATCATTTGGGGTGGTCAGGTAGCCTAGTGGTTAAAGTGTTCGCTCGTCATGCCAAAGACCCGGGTTTGATTCCCGACATTGGTACAATGTGTAAAGCGAATTTCTGGTGTCCCAGCGGCGTAAAACCATACTCGCTCACTCACTATTGGTCATGGAGTTTATTGGTCTTAATGAAGGCAGGAGACAAAAAAAAAACCTAAACTGTTGCAGGTTTGATTTGAGATTAAATCCTCCCCTGCCGCCCCCCTCCACAAATTCACACAACAGGATTTTTTCAAAAGAGCATCAATTTTGTTAAATGAAACACAGCATATATAACCTTTTTTTCTCCAAAACTATTGAGTTAAGTTTGGAAATGAAAATAGACTGGTCAGTACTGTACTGACTCCGAGGTGACCAGTCCATTTTAATGCCAAGCACCAGACAGGGTAACAACAGGCACCATCTCTTAACGTCTTTAGGAATGACACAGCTGGGGATCGAACCCTTGACTTCCACTCTCTGGGCGGACGCTCTTACTCTAGATTACAGAGGCGGTCCCATAATTAATGAGGTAGATGTTGGTTTCATGAACAGCAACAAGCATGACATCCACACATTAAATGACCGTCAAATGTCTCACAAAACACACAATGTCCTGTAATTCTGTCGCAAACACGAACTCACACATTAACTGTGGTCATAGAGACAGCAATGGCCACTCACCATCCATGGAATGCACAGTTTCAAATGCAACAACTTTGGGGACGTTGACATCCACTTTCTTGAGAAGCTGCTCGAGGTGGTCAGGGTCATTGTGACGGAATATGTGCTTGGGGACGCCACTTGTCCTGATCCCTGCGATCATGGACGCATGGTTACCTGCATCGGAGAATATATGGCAACCTGGAACGGAAAAATTAGTTTTGTTCAAAATCAATATGCAAGGTTTGTTTGAAGCTATTGATTGATTTGTTCACAAGAATTAAATGATATGAACCTTTGACATCACAATATTTCATCTTTTGTGTGAGTCAGCGCATCAGTTACATTTTGTAAGTTATAAAAAGAGTACCGTATTCAACGTAATAAGCGCCCAGGGCGCTCTCAAAATTAGAAATAGGGGGCTCTTATTAGAATATTATTTTGGTGGAAAAAAGAGAGTTGAAAGATAAATTTCGTGGTTTATGCTGACACACTGAAATGTTTATATGCGACAGATACATTTTTCCAGAATTTAATTGCCCATAATTAAGAATGCATATAACACACGACTGCGTATTTTACGCGAATAAAAAAGTCTTGTGTACATTGATCAATAGGAAGGAGTGCTAATTTGGATTGTTCACTAGCCAATATATTAGCAAATATCGCCGTGGGCGCTTATTAGAGCGGGGCGCTTATTACGTCGAATACGGTATATCAGTCATATCCCAGTGTATTAGCTTTAAAACTAAGTACGTTTTAGGTGTTTACCACTGTGTGAATCCTATGAACACGGGTATGGTGCTGACAAACCTACATCATGATCAGGGTGAACAATAAGTTGAGGTAACCTGTAGGGACATTTAAGATAAATCCTTAGCCACTGTACCTGGAAGTGCTTTGAGCAGAGTAAACAGTGTTGAGTCATTGGCCACATAGCAGGAGGTGAAAATGAGGCCAGCCTCTTTCTGGTGTAGATCAGCCAGACGTCGCTCAAGACGTTCATGTAGTGGGGAATTGCCGGAGATATTCCTCGTCCCCCCTGCACCTGCCCCATGCTTTTCCAGCGCTTTCCTGTAAGTAATGCAGACGTGTCTCAAACAGCATTTATCAAATACACCCCCTCCCACACTGTCCTGTAAATCATGTAGGCATTTCTTAAACAACAGTCTTCAAATAACCGACTTTCATGTTGTCCTTTAAGTCTCACAGACTTGTGTCTCAAACAACAGCATTAGATGCTCCATTCCCCGAAACCAGAAGCCTTCCTTCAGAGATCTGGATCTGATGCATAGAGTCTGCAACACTATAAAAGCTGTTGTCTTGATTGATTTCACACACGCTCGCCGGAGAGCGGAAGGTCCGAGGTTTGATGCCAAAAGACGCTAAAAAATGTCACTTGTTGTTACCCTGTCTGGCGTTCGGCATTAAGGGGCTAAAACAAGGACTGGTCGGCTTGGAGTCAGACTACTGTGTCTGAGTGGGGTATTCATGTTAAACTGCAGCATGGTATCTCAGTGGGCTAGCTCTATAAATCGGCATAAGTCATTAAGCAGCCACACACATATATGTGCATGCGACAATCCCCATTTCACCTCACCTCACCTCATGTACACGATCAAGACGAGATGTCTTAGAAACTAACCTGACAGCATTGCACACATTCGGATGCCAGCTCATGCCTAGGTAGTCATTGCTGCACCACACAGAGATGTCCTTCTTGCCATCCGAGTGCTCCTGGGCAAAGGGAAATGCATCTGCATTCCGCATCACCTTCTTGAAGATTCGGTATGAGTGATCCTTCTTCTTCTTGTCAACCTCATTGGCAAAGAATGCTTCATAGTTGAAGAAGCCTGGAGGATCACCTGAAAGACAAGAGTGGTTGGGTAACTGAGGTTTCACTGCTTTCAACAGGTTTTTAGTATTAAGTGCATGTCTGCTCAAGGGACCGGGGGGAGGGGAGTCCAGAAGAATCGGGGGAGAATCACCAAAAGTATTACAGTCTCTTGTAGAGAGTCATAAAACTGCCCTGAACTTCACCTGAAGCGGCCTTGAACTTCCCCTGAAGCGGCCTTGAACTTCCCCTGAAGCTGCCCTGAACTTCCCCTGATGCTGCCCTGAACTACCCTTGAAGCTGCCCTGAACTTCACCTGATGCTGCCCTGAACTACCCTTGAAGCTGCCCTGAACTTCACCTGAAGCTGCCCTGAACTTCACCTGAAGCTGCCCTGAACTTCCCCTGAAGCTGCCCTGAACTTTGCCTTGACCTGCTCTGAACATCCCCTGAAGCTACCCTGAACTTCCCCTGAAGCTGCCTTGAACTTCCCCTGAAGCTGCCCTGAACTTCCCCTGAAGCTGCCCTGAACTTTGCCTTGACCTGCTCTGAACATCCCCTGAAGCTGCCCTGAACTTCCCCTGAAGCTGCCCTGAACTTCCCCTGAAGCTGCCCTGAACTTCCCCTGAAGCTGCCTTGAACTTCCCCTGAAGCTGCCCTGAACTTCCCCTGAAGCTGCCCTGAACTTCCCCTAAAACTGCCTTGAACTTCCCCTGAAGCTGCCCTGAACTTCCCCTAAAACTGCCTTGCCTTGAACTTCCCCTGAAGCTGCCCTGAACTTCCCCTGAAGCTGCCCTGTCTACTCACCCCCATGTGGCCCAGACCCTTTCCCTCTCAGCATCTTGAGGGTCTCTCCTAGATTCCAGCCTTGTACTCCTCCAAACCCCGAATCCTTCTCCACGTTCGTCTCCCCCTGCATCTCCACACTCACATCACCAGCAGCAGTGGTGGCAGCATGCTGAGCTACATCCCTGCTCAGTCCGGTGTGATCCTTGGCAGCCGTCATGTTGTCAGCGTCATCTACAACATCAGCAGGGAGTGAGGGAGGATGCTTTTACACCTCTTCCTGTATCCATATCACAACAAGGATCACTGACATGTGGCATACCTATGTGGTGAGTGAGTGAGTGAGTGAGTTCTTGGTGGCTGGTTGAGTGAGTTTTGGGTGAGTGAGTGAGTGAGTGAATGAGTGAGTAAGTGAGTGAGTGAGTTCTGGGTGGGTGAGTGAGTGAGTGAGTGAGTGGGTGGGTGGATGGGTGAGTGAGTGAGTGAGTGAGTGAGTGAGTGAGTGAGTGAGTGAGTGAGTGAGTGAGTTCTGGGTGAGTGAGTGAGTGAGTGAGTGAGTGAGTGAGTGAGTGAGTGGGTGGGTGGGTGGGTGGGTGGGTGGGTGAGTGAGTGAGTGAGTGAGTGAGTGAGTGAGTGAGTGAGTGGGTTAGTTAGTTAGTGATGTTTAAGTGTTTGTGTGTGTGTTTAGGGGAGGGGAAGCACCATTACATAGCTTCATTCATTGTACCTTTAAGTGAGTGTATAGTGAGTGAGTGAGTATGGTTTTACGCCGCCTTTAGCAATATTCCAGCAATATCACGGCGGGGGACACCAGAAATGGGCTTCACACATTGTACCCATGTTGGGAATCGAACCCGGGTCTTCGGCATGACGAGCTAACCCTTTAACCACTAGGCTACCCGACCGCCCCAAGTGAGTGTATATGGTTTAAGGATGCAATATGCTGGCCATATCACAGCCACATGTGTATAATCACCCATGGAGTCTGGAAACCAGCAACCATTTATGACTACAGCCAGCCTGTCCCAGAATCGGCAAACTAGAGGCTGACAGCATGAGTATCCATCCATGACTTCATGCAATGTACACACACCAACAGAAAAATGAAACAAAAATTCAGTTAACAACTGGTTCTAAATACCTTAAATAATTGAAAATTTTGTTAAAATTTGGTGTGGCAGGCCTATAAACCAAAGATTAAACATAAATTCCCTTCCGAATTGAGAGATGAATCTGACCTTTTCTGTTGACAGTGATGATGTCTCCCTGAATGGCTGGGCTAGCCTCCTGAACCTGCAGCTCATTCGCCAGGAAAGGACACTTGGTTGTCCCGGCAACATCCGCTGTTATAACATCAGAGATGATGTGGATATGGAGAAGTGAGTGAGTGAGGTTTTGTACAGAATTTCTATCATAGCACAAGGGCCATGAATATATTTTTTTTAATATGGCTGCTCTGGTTGCCATATTGAAAATCAGATTTGAACTTAACAGCAGAGTAGGAGTTATGGCATTTATTTTAAGTTTCAGTCAGGTGAATAAAAAATTAAAGGTCACTAAAAACAGTGATGAAGAAACCGTTGACATAATTGAGTAACAAGATAATTCCATAAAGAAGATAAATATTTTCAATAAATATTTTCAAATTTTGTTTGGGTCTCACCTTCCTTGGCGTCAACCTCAGTGGTCATCATGCTGGCCGAGGAATACTGGAAGGCATGGGTCATCACTGGGCAGCGGTTGGCATAGCTCAGGAGCTGTTGGGGGAACTGTCTCAGGTTGTTGACAGGGATCTTTGTCAGAAACGGACATGCCAGACGCTTCATCTGAAAATAGTCAGGGATTCAAACCCAGGCAACAAATTATTGTACAGATGAAGGATACATCTGCGTATAGTGAGACCTTGTACCTTGACCCACCTCACCAGCAGCCTGTTCTATAGTGTTGTATCTTGGTGATGTAGCTGTCATGAGTCTATGTTAAAGTATGTGAGTCCTAGGCATACAACAAACTATTGCCACATGTTTCCAATAAATCTTAACAGAGCCTTCCCGATGCCTGAGTGATTCCGGCTGCATATCACTTGTTTATTAAGACAATGTATTCATACACAAAGTCATGTTTGTGAATAAAAATACATGTACAATAAAAATAAAAGAATTTTAAAGGGGGATGACTAGGCTCGGCATATTGGCAGTCCTGGCAAATTTAATCACGTCCCTCAAATAACATTTTCTTGGTCTGTTAAAATTATATTACCTGTAAAAATTTAGCAGAAATTGAAAATATTATCATACATGGGATTAATTGCAATGTCTAGGCCTAGGCAGAGCATGAGTGAGTGAGTTGGGTTTAACGCCGCTTTTAACAAATTCCAGTTATATCACGGCCTGTCAGCTTAATGTGGGAGGAAAGCCCGAAGTGATGCAGGTCTAAGACGTTTACCACTTCGGTGAAACCCACGAGCACGGGTATGGTGCTGACAAACCTAGAAACATAATTGGGGCGAACGGCAGAGCATGAGCACCAGACAGTGGATAGTGACAATGACAATGACAATGACAATGACAATGACAATGACAAATTGTTTATTATTGTCTCATCGGAGATACAGATTATAGGCACATACATTATTATAAAAGTACACTATAAAGTATCTCTGCCTCCCACGATGTGGGTTATAAGAGACCATACATAATACATAGTAAAACAAATTGAGTTAAAACATATAAAAAGCAATATAAATATATATGGTGTTATTGGTAGTAAGATTTTCTCCGGACAGCCATTTTGTAGCACATACTATCTGGTGTTGAAATAATATTATAATCATTTAAAATATATACAAGCTCAGTATTATTATTTAAGTTGCCATTTGTGGGGTTAAATACTTGTGGAAAGTGGGTAACACGGATATCATCATAAAGTGAGCAGTGGAGGGGAAAGTGAGTTTCATCTTCTACACATCAAGGGCAATATTTATAAAAATAGTCAGCATTCAATGAATGAGCTACTGTTAATGGGCTATGCAGATGATGTAGTAACAGATACAACATTTTGCATGGACTACTAAACGATTTGTGTAAAGCAGCAACGCATTTCTCTCCTCTTTCAAAAACATAAACATCAATCAGTAGTTGTTTATACTATCCTACAAAAACATCTTCAAGCCCATTTAAGTTATGGCCATCTTAACTTTGACCTCTTTAATACTGACCAATTTGATTGGTTCCTTTTATACCGCGACACACTGTATTGTTTCACTATAAGGTATCTCATTGTTTTCTTATTTTTTCTGGTATTTCTTGCATTTAGACGGTTCCTGAGTTGGAGAAAAAAACACTTTTGGCTTTTTCCTTACTCACTTTTTTTCATTTTTAAGCAAAACCTCAGAGTCGTGTTTTATCCTTATCATATAGAGAACTATTTATATTCCAGATTGAGTCAATCAGTAAACAAGTTGTTTTATAGGATCTCGAAACAAGCTCGGGGCCACTGTTCCTCATGGTCATGTGACTTTGTACCTGACTGATATTAACCAGTTGGGCTGCCGAAGACTGGTTTTTACTATGACATGTCTGCTGAAAGAATTCAGATCACAATAGTGAGACATGCTTGATATTTGCAGTTGGAGGAGGTGTGATCGCCTTGACACAGTTGAATGTTTATCCACTCAATACCACCAACAAGTGCAAACAAGTAACTCTGAGTCTGTTGGTCGTCATATTCCCAAATGACAATTCCTTTGTGTTAATTTAAGGCTCTGAATAACATACATCTAGAGTCAGTGTTACTATATATTACATAACACCATGAATCAGGGATTACAGAGGTCAGACTGAGATCAGGAACATGTCTGTTGCCATGACAGCCAGGTATATTTCCTCCAGTATACGCCACTGTACAACTGGGTAAATAGAAATTTACCAAAACATCATTGACCAACAAGGTAGATTTCAGTGTGATGTTTTGGTATAGATACCAATATACCGTTGTTAGTCTTGCCTGACAGGGATAAGGATCTATACCGAAACATCTCCTTTACAGTATTAAAGGACTGTATCTGTATCCTGTGGTATATGACTGAATAAAAAAAATAAAAAAAATTAAAAAAAGAAGAAGAAAAAAGTTGCTGTCCATAAATTATCTCTAGTTTGTCATCCGTCAACTTCAAAGTAATGCCTATCAAGCAAGTCATCATTGACCAATAATACTGAAGTATTTTACAAGTAGGAACATATAAAGAATGGTGAGTGAGTGAGTGAGTATGGTTTTACGCCGCTTTTAGCAATATTCCAGCAATATCACGGCGGGGGACACCAGAAATGGGCTTCACACATTGTGCCCATGTCGGAATCGAACCCGGGTCTTCGGCGTGACGAGCGAACGCTTTAACCACTAGGCTACCCGACCGCCCCTATAAAGAATGGGAACAAGAGTGTAGAGTTGAGTCCTCGATTACTGTTCTTCCAGACTGTTATGTAGTTCAAATATACAACTCAACATTTGTTAAGGATCAAAACACTCATCTTTAAAGTCAAAGGTTTGGTCCTTAGCAAATGTTGAGTAGTATAGAACACATATGACAACACATGTTGTTATACTTACATAAAACTGCCACATCAGCAAATATAACAGGATTTTTTTAAACCAGACCTGAGGTTAGTATCATAACCCTTTTAATTCAGCCATATGAAAATTGTAATTAAGAAATCATTTATCAAAATGTTGTTCGATAGAAACGTGCCACATTGGCAATACGAAGCTCCATTTTTTAATATCACTTACAAAGACACTGAATAGAACTGTTGTGCCATATCATGCATGTTGACTATTTCAAAGCTGTGTATTTCAATACCACTTACACTGACAATAAACAGATTGATCGTGACGGTCGTTAATGAACATGATATGAGTAAATGACTTCATGGTATTGAGTGGTCACGATGATACTAGCCACAATACAACTAATCTCACCTTGATAAGGCAAACAGCTGGTGACGCTGGTATACAACGAATCTGCAATATACAACACACCTGTAATAACATAATATCAAGGTGGGCGGCACTAATGAACATCATAATATAACAGATAAACATCATTTACCTGAACATATCTCTGTATTGCACAAAAGGTGTTTGTGAAATGGACATTTCAGAAAAGACTTACAGATCATTCATCTATTGTAAATGGACATTTCAGATAAGACTTGCAGAGAAGGTCATCTACTGTAAATGGACATTTCAGATAAGACTTGCAGAGAAGGTCATCTATTGTAAATGGACATTTCAGATAAGACTTGCAGAGAAGGTCATCTATTGTCCTGAACTGATATGTATAGTTATTTGTTTTTTTATGCTCATTTATATAGTTAATCAAAAGCTAACAATATTTGTGTTCTCATTCAGTGCTTCAACCAGTTAAAACTCCAGACCAGCATCTTATTTTCGAATTTTTTGTTTTATTTCTTTTTCTACTGGTGTTCAAGAAAGTAACACTCAAAATGAGGGTATTATGAAAATGCCTGTTGATTATAAATAAATGTTTTCATGACCAAAAATCATCATAAAATTCACGAAAATAGCTAAACCCAAAAGAAGGGTTTGAAATAATGAGGCTTTCATTCAAATATACTGATTTAATTTTTGTTTAAAAACACTTTCAAAATGTAAGGTAGACTCTTCCAAAGACCAGGAAAACAGTTCGTCTGGCATTACGAGCAAAAATATAGTTCGGCATGTTTTACATCACGTGCCTATTTTCATTCAAAGAGTTCATTTTTGATTGTTTAGTTTTAATTTGTGAAAAAAAGAGAAGTCTGTGAAAATTAATCAATCTAAGCTAAAAAAAGATCAGAATAGGAACTCTTACCATCTTCATTTTAGGTTTTGCTAGTATCACCAACACGAACAGCTTATTCCCAATACACTGTATAGGCTTGTCGTGTTCCAGTCCATGTGATACAAAGTGCCACAACAGTCTCACTTATATAGCTGGTGTGCATTGATCCATCAGTGTCACACCAGGAACTAGCTTTTCTATGAAATACTCGGTTTCGGAAAATAAGTTTCATTTTCTCAAACTGGCCCACAAAGGTTGCTTAAAGCCAAGTCACCATAATGGTCTCCATCTTTGGACAATGACGCATCACTTAATATCGCTTGATGATTCATACAAGGCCTTCCCATTTTTATGAATTTGGTAGAGTCAGGTCTATACAGAGATGCCAGGAATAGAATAGTCATTTTCAAAGTTTTATTTGTTTGTTTGTTGTTTAACGCTGCACTCAGCAATATTCCAGCTATATAACTTAAATCTGTAATTAATCGAGTCTGGACCAGATAATCCAGTGATTGACATGATGAGCATCAATCTAGGCATTTGGAAAGTCAGCGCGCTTGACCTTCTGATCATGCAAGTCTCTGACAACAAGTCTAGGTTGTTGAAGACCAATTCTAAACCGTATCTTCATGGGGTTTGTTTTCTTAGTCCAGCCAAAATGGAACTTCGGAATTCCAGGTTGGTTCAGCAAGATAAGAAACTGGACTTTTATGGTCAGTTAACGCCCTTGCCTTGGGAAGATGCATTTGTGCATGATAAGGATACTTTGTATTACAATTCTCTTTAATGTGCTTAAAGAGCAAGGTGACACCTTTGTGTCTAGAGATGACACTGACAGACAGTTTTATATCTCATGACCCCACCACGGCATGTAGCATGTCATGAGCATGCATCATAACACACCGGCTAAATTAGAAAAGTGTAGTTTACGTAACAGCAATCAGTGTCTCATGTCTCAGGTCTCATTGGATAATTAACGAGTGAGTGAGTGAGTATGGTTTTACGCTGCTTTGAGCAACATTCCAGCAATATCACAACAGGGGACATCTGAAATGAGCTTCACACATTGTACCCATGCTGGGAATCGAACCCGGGTCTTCGGCGTGACGAGCGAACGCTTTAACCACGAGGCTACCCCACCTCCCCATTGGGTACTTAAACATCTACCGCATTGAACTCTGCTGAGGTCTTTGTTGTTTAACGCTGCACTCAGCAATATTCCAGCTGTATTACAGCGGTCTGTAAATAATCGAGTCTGGACCAGACAATCCAGTGATTGACATCATGAGCATCGATCCACGCAGATGGGATATGATGACATGCATCAACTAAGTCAGCAAGCCTGACCACCTGATCCTGTTAGTCGCCTCTTACGACAAGCACAGTCGCCTCATAAGACAAGCATGGGTTGCTGAGCTCTATTCCACCCGGATCCTCACGGGTTGTGGGACAAGTAGGACATGGAGAAGACAACTCACCTGGTCAGGAGAGTCACGGTGAGGTGGGCAGAGGTGTTCAGGTGTGCTTCTCACTGGAAACGACACACAGTCTGGAAAACAAGACAACAATTAATTCAAGTCTAAATAATCAAGTCTGGCCAAACAAATCACTAGTTTACATTATGAGCAACTCTTCATGTATGGAGATACAATGACACACATCAAACCAAGCAGCGTTAGAAATTGGCACTAGTCCTATAGTCCTTGCCCAATAGTTAAGGTATCCTAAGGACTAGTAGACATTTGCCGGTCTTAAGGGTTTTACTGTATGCTATGATTATAATGACTAGTGGACTAATACTTTTAGTTTCTATCTCCGCCAAGGCATTAACACATACAATCACAAGTACCTGACATGGTTCAATACAGAACATATTTGATGATGAAAACACAAGTTAACAATATGGCCCTTCTAAAAAAATCTACAAAGAGAAACAAAGGCCTTAAACTTTTACTCAAGCCCTATAAGGTTCCCAACTGACACAGGAACACTTAGTCTAAGAGTACTATAAATTTTGAAATTAGTCTTAAATGTTTATTGATAAATCTTGTCCCTAGTTTTATTGCTTTTTTATTGCGTTTTATTCCTGAAATATATCACAGAGGACTAATATATAATTAAAAGTGAAAGATCAGATTTACTTGTTATTTCTATGGACATAGTGTGGGGATATTCTGAATGAGAAATATTTCATATACACTGCCAAGCTTGTTTCCTAACAAGCATCCCCACCCTTCATATTAATCCAAGTACCACAGAGCTACAGATAAGCAGCGTATTTGCGTAGAATACCCCCTAAAAATATTCAAAACCCAATTACTTTCAATTAACTTGCATACAGAAACACAAGCATTTAATGAAAAATTCAAATGTATAAAAACAGCATGCGTAAATACCCAATAAAGACTTTTCAGCATGCATACAAAGGAGCTAATTTCTGAAACACAATTATGAGCTAATTTACTTTCCAAGTCTAGCCTATATATTTAGAACAGTTTTATACATCGAAAACATTATTTCATTTTTTTTTAAATCTTAAAATGTTCACAAATTTTGGGAAAAACCCAACAGAGTGATGAATAGATGAGTGATAAAAGATTGGTTACCCAATGAAAAATGTAATAACCCAATTATAATAGAAACCCTAGAGTAAAAACTCAATTGCTCAAAAAGTTATCTTGAGCTCTGAGTACCAATAACATCTTTCAGCCTCTCAAGTAGTAACATGCCTGAAATGATGAATTTAACATACAATGGGTAGGTTTCTTGGCAGGATAAAAACGGTCTCTATTAGGGTAATACTGTTATCTCATACTATGTTTGTTATCATCATCAAATTAATAGTCTAAGATAGGGAAAATCATGTTTCAGTTGGAACTATATTTCCTGGTATCACTATCTGCCTGACCAATCACTGCAGTGCAGTGTTAGAAATTGGCACTAGTCCTGTAGTCCTTGCCAAACTGCCCAATAGTTAAGGTATCAAAAGGACAAGTAGAAATTTGCCAATTTTAAGGGTATTTCTATATGTTTTTCATTATAAGAACGAGTGGACTAAAAATGTTAGTTTCTGCCGCTGTTATGATTTATATTATTATTGGGATAAATTTGCAATGTCATGATACTCTTTGTGAGAGATAGAACTAGGGCTGGGACGGATAACTCGGGTACTCGTGTCAAGTGGGTCCTAAATAGGCCCCGGATACCAACAGGACTAACCGGACCTGTTGTGAGTCACATGATATATTGTTTAATGACAAAAACTCACTATAGCTCAGTGGTTACACTCGCTAATGTTCGCATTTCTTTCTGACGATGCACACATTCCTTCTGACTTGTATATGTTTGAGTAAAGATAAAGCTTCAGTCAACTTCAGTGTACGCATGATCTGATCATTTGACACATGTATCTAAATAATTTTGGCCAGGGCTGTGGTAACACAATTCCCAATCAGACATTCCCAACTCTTGAGACCTGCAGTGGGTACCCGGGTAGGGTATAATAGGGGGTAGGGTACCCTGGGTAGTAAATTTAGACTCGTCTAGAACTCTAGAATTTAAGAATGACATTATATGATAAAGTTGTCATGACATTACTATTACATAACACTATGTATGTAGCTCACCAAGGCCCAGTAAACACAGTGTTATTCCCAACACAGGATACTTAGTATTACTTACCATCCAAAACACACACGTCATAACCTGAATATATCAATTACAGTAAGAGTACATTCAAGTGTAACGTAATCACCCCAGCCAACCCCCACCCCCCCCCCCCCCCCCCCCCCCCGACGTATTTCTCCATTTAAACAGTTACCTATTGACTTGAACTGTGAACATGTATTTTATAACAACATTGATAGTTTGTAATAAAAATGAAGAACATGACAATAAAAAAATGTTGCCTACAATGCAACAGATGGATCTGTGTATATATTCATTCTGAAAAATTGCTATCAATAATATATTTAGATTTCTAGGTACAACCATATACAATATAGTTGAAAAGACTGAAATTAAATAAATGCACTTACATTCAGCTAAAAATACACCATGAAAATGAAATATCCAAAAATACCATTTACACAGCAACAGCAAAATAAATCATATTTTTATTATACAGTCAAAAAGTGAAAAGCAAAACTCAATTTTTCAATATTATGTTCTGCAAAAACAGTTCATTTGGGCTTGACATGAAAATTTACTGAGTCAGTTATTGAACATGCGTTCTGGATTTCAACTTTTCTATCAGTGCAACATTTTGGAACACGGGCAAGCACTTGCTTGATAAAGGCTTGAATCTAACACCGCTTCCTAAACATTGCATGGATAGAAAGAAGAAAGAATAAATCCAGTCAACTTCATTGATACTACCACTTCTAAAAAGCCACGTAAAGATAAGTCGAAAAAAGCCGATCATATGTCCGATAGTCAAAGTGACCTCAGTGTTATAATAGCAGGGCGCTTTAGTTGAAGCAGAACCACATCTACTACATCACCCAAACCTAATTTCCTCCTAGCATGATTCAGCTATTTATATCTGTTTACAATTCACTTGTATCACGACAGCCCAATACATCCGGCTAGTCTACAAGGCCACTTTGTGACAGTTCTCAATCACAAGCGCGTAAATCTAGAATCAGATCTTACATGGCCTATCTATATTTCCATACTGTTTCAATTAGAGACAATGAAATACATTACCCGTCAATAGGTTCTGTTGGCCTCTCAATGCTGAGCTGATACGGAATAGATTACGTTAGCCTGTTTTAGGGCTCACAAGAGTGGACAGCTTAGCCCTGGACATGTATGAATATTTTTTTGGGTGCAACTGAACTGGAACTAGTTCATGGAAGGGAGTTATATATAAGCCACAGACTTATGAAATGTTTCAGTTTGAATTGGTACAACAGACAGACAGTAACATGATGTATGCTTAACTGGGGCAGGTATCATACAAACTAAAGCCCAGCCTGTGTATTGTATATGCTGTGTATATACATGTATCTAGGGAAATATTATCAATAGTCAATGACAGACCAGAATCAATACTGTGTAAAACAGACTAGCTCCATTCATATCTCAGCTGGCTTCACTGCACTGCCTTAATTCAACTGTCAGCTCTTAAGACATGGCCTGTACTGCTAACATTAGCTACAGACACAGACACAAATAGATTATGAAATTGTCAGATTGTTAAACATATATAGATAGGAGCACATATACCATTAGTTTGAGGGCAATGGGGTAGCCTTGTGGTAAAGTGTTCTCTCATCACGCTGAAGACCCGGGTTCGATTCCCTACATGGGTACAATGTGTGAAGCCCTGTCGACATATTGATGGAATATTGCTAAAAGCAAAATCCATACTACTCACAGATCATTAAATCGGATGTTTAACACCCAGCTAAATATTGGCTTCTGGGACACTGACATACACACTACATACATCAATATTAGAATAAGAGAAATATTTTTTGGGAAAAAGCAGGTTTAAGAAACATACATTAATATTTTAAAAAATATTTATAAAAGAAAACGAATAATAAAAAGTTTTCATAAGTATTAGAAGGGTAGTTAGAGAGAGAGGTACCGTAATTCCTCCTGAAACTGTCCAATCACGTAAAGCCAAAGGAAAGCGGAGTCCCGTGAGTGTATCAGCATGGACAAATATCTAAGTGGGGATACAGCTTTTGTTCCTCCCAGTTTTGTGTGATGGCTTGTTTACTTCCCCAAAAACACAATAAAGAATAAATGTCTCTGGTTAAATCTGGTCAAAAGACAATTGACAGTGTGTTCGAGTAACCACAGAGTAAAAATAGCCGATTGTCAGCATGGCTGCATACGTGTTTGCTATGGAAGGGGATCTGTGTTAAAATGTAATTTTTTAACGTAATATATGCTTTTAGATGCAGAAAATCTACCAAGCAGAATAATATCATTTTACAGCAAGCATAACCACATCTGTCAAGGAGACTGTAGTTTCCAATGTTTCTCATCTTATCTGACACAAGCATAATGTAATTTTGGCACAGATTGTCTTCCATAGTTTGCATTTCAAGATTTCGTAAGTCCCATGCTCACGTGGTTATTTACATAGATATTTGAACATATCTTATTGATTCAAAAAGGGTTATGTATTGACTTAACGGACATATACACAGGCTGTTTTTCTTACAAACCAACTGTACCTCAAAACAGTTCCTATACAATCCCCTCTACTAAAGCACGCACGTAATATACACCATCCTACTTCTGACTATCATCCCCCCCCCCTCTCCCCCCTTAACTGCCAATGACCCACCAAGGCAGTCTGCCCACAATGAACAAACTCTTCCCCCTAGATACGCTTCACATATTGAGATAAGTCTCTAATCTCAATGCACCTAAATGCACCAGGATCCAAATTCATGAAGAATGTATAAGTTTACGATACTAATTTTCCAAGCCTTTTAGAAGGTAATTTCTTATCAGTTTGGGGGAAAAAAGTTCAGAAAGTGGAACTCAATCACATATTCTCACCCTTATTATGTAAGGATGATATTT